CTAATTCCCTAATACGGGTCTTGCAGGCAGTGTCATCAGCCAATACTGCCCCTTCTGCTTTTTTGGTTAACAGGAAGTCTGGAGCCTGCCTGGCTTGGTTTAATTTAGTTTCTAATTCATTTATCTGCTCCCTCAATTTCATACTTTTTTTCCTACTCTTTCCGCCTTATGTTTGGTGTCGTTGGTGGTTCACGTTAACAGGGTGTTCTCATTCATCTTTTCTCTCACCTAGGCGACTAAGTCGCCAATCTGCCTTTTTAGTATATCTGCATCCACCCTTAGCTTTTTGTACTCCTCCGTAGCTTTGTGGGCCAGCATCCAAATGGCCCATGAAGCCCACCAATCCTTTTCTGCTCTTGATACTCCTTTTAACCCTTTCCTCTCCGTTTTAGCATTGTAGACCTCCAGGAGGGTCGCAAAGCAATCCTCGGTAAGGAAACCTCCAGCTTTCCACAGATTGGCTCCTTTCCCGAGTATCCATTTCTGAAGTGCTCCTCTTTAAGCAGTCTGGCGGTGGCTGGTGACACTTCCATTCTATGGGTGGGAACTTTTTCACCCTGGTATCACTCTAAATGGGACTTCTCCCTGCTAGTCTCACCTGCTAGCAAATTTCTGTTTGGGAACCTCTTCCCTGCTAGCCTTCTTGGACCACCTCGTCCTGCTAGCTCCTAACCAGGACCACCTCGCCCCTGCTGACCTCATCTGGGACCAACTCCCATCAGCTTCTCTTGGGACCACCTCGTCCCCACTAGCCACTAATGGGAACCACTTCCTTCTAGTTAAAAACTCAGCCACTGCCACCCACCTCACGAGACTAGGACCCAAAACAATGGATGCAAGATGCAAGAAAAGAGATTCCACCTCAACATTAGGAGGAACTTCCTGACAGTACGGGCAGTTTGACAGTGGAACACACTCCCTCGGAGAGTAGTGGAGTCTCCTTCCTTGGAGGTCTTTAAGCAGAGGCTGGATGGCCATCTGTCAGGGATGCTTTGATTGGGAGTTCCTGCATGGCAGGGGGTTGGACTGAATGGCCCTTGTGGTCTCTTCCAACTCTATGATTCTATTATTCTATGGTTACTGGTTTTCTCCTGCAGCGAGTGACTCATTGTAACTGTCGCTAGACCCAGCCAAAGGACCCGATTGGACTTGCGCCAATCCCTTCACTAGGGAACCCTGATGCTACTGTCCTCCTCAGGCCGCCCCCTCGGTAGGCCCAAAACACACACCAGAACTTGAGTCCCTAGCTAGACTCTTGCCTGAGTTTTTTTTCCCCAGGAGCACCCCCTCCCTTTCTCAACCTTGTGCATGGACTTACGGCCTCCAGACAAGGACATCTCCCCCTTTTGCCTGCCTTTCCTCATCAAAGGTGAGTTCTACCTTGACCTTAAAGGGCTTATGGTGTGCTATACCTGCCTTTTTGGCCTATTCTGACCTTGTTCTCGGATTTACAGCCTCCAGCGGGAACGTCTTGCTGCTTTTGCCCACCTTTGCTTGTACTACTGTGGGGTTTGGATTATGGGCTGGGTTTTGAAGAAATGGAAAGGAACCAGCCTCTGCTCCCCAACTTACGATACAGAAAATAAAAATAGGGTGTCAGGATCTGCTGTGACATCACACCCAAGGGAGATTATACGCTTACCACTGGATTGCTCGCGCTGAGCCAGCCAACAAAACGTATAACCAAAGGATGAAATGGGATCAGCCAAGCCCTTTGCCCTTATGGCCAACCGCACAAGAACTACAATCACACACCTCCCTATTTCTCCCTGCATCTGCACCAATTTCTCTCAATCCCCATGCTCTCTACATTTGGGATTTGAACACTTCAATTGCGCAGTTGGAGTGCACAGACCTCGGGGGAGATTAATTTTATTCCGGGAGAAAAACCAATTAATTTCCCCCACTTTCTCCACCAATGTGTAGCCAAAAGTCTATGAAGGGGAATTTTATTTAGCTCAAATTGAGAGGTGGGTGGCTACAAGGACCCTGCAAGACTGTCTCTCACGTGTATACCAAGAGCTGGGGGATGTAAGAATTGATGCAGAGATAGAATTCTCCAATTAAAGTATTATTTATTAAAAGGAGAAAATTACACAGCAATTCACATACACACACACTATTTGGCTCAGGAAACCAGGGGTTAGCTTGGAAAAGGTATTGAGGCAGAACTTTGGGTGATGAGTTACTATGGATGAAGCCTTCTCTGGGATCCAATTGGATGAAGTGGTGTGAGACACAACCATTCCGAAAGCATAGGTTTGAATGGAGGTGCCGGTAACTAAATCAGAGCAAAGTAATGCAGGGCCCCCATGAACTCCGACTCACGACACTGAGGGGAGAATTCCAGGGGTTTTTAAGGACTAAAACTAGCCACAGGGCAAAGGTGTGAGACTACCTGGGTGAGGTAATGGTCTGGCAATATTCAAGGTGAAATGAGAGAGGATTAAGTCGTGAGGTGAGACATCTAGGCCATTATCGCTCATCCTCTGATTATGGAGGTGATGATGG